ATAGTATTTGGGCTATTACACTCCAGACTGCTGGTCTAAGGTACCATTCACCAGCCATAGCCATTTTTCCTGTTCTCTCTTGGTATCTCTGCCCTTAGCAGTTCTTATTATTGACCTGGGACTGAGTACAATTAAAATCTTTTTTCGATTCCTTCCCACACTCATCTTTAAACTTGATGGGGATTTTTTAATATCAAAAATGCAAGTCAGAGAAGTTAATGTTCTAAAGCCTGGGGTGGATGATTACATTTGCTGAAAATGAAGCTCAAAATGAAAGACCAATTCAAGTAGCAGTAATGTTTTCAAGCATTTTATGTCACAGGTGGTATAGTCTGCTATTAGAGGTCCTAAAGGGGAGTTTTCATAGCGGTTGCCATAAATCACATTCTTATGGTGACAAGGGAGGAAGAGAGTGACGTCACCCGAGGAGTAGTTTTTGTAAGTCCTATCCACATGACTGAGAGTTGTAGAGTCAGGATTTGTATAAGTGAAAAAGTGAGGCAGAAAATTCCCTTTCCAATACAGAATCACAGAATCATTTAGGTTGGAAAAGACCTCTGAGACTGTTGAGTCCAACCTTTGACTGATCACCACCTTGTAAATTAGACCATGGTACTAAGTGCCATGTCCAGTCATATCTTGAACACTTCCAGGGATGTTGACTCCACCACCTGCCTGGGCAGTCTATTCCAAAGTTTAACAACCACTTCCGTGAAGAAATTCCTCCTGATATCCATCCTGAACCTCCCCTGATGAAGCTTGTGGCTATGTCCTCTTTTTCTGTCACTAGTTGTCTGGGAGAAGAGACTGACCCACTCCTTGCTACAACCTTCTTTCAGGTAGTTGTAGAGTATGATAAGGTGTCCCCTGAACCTCCTTCACTCTAGGATAAACCAACCACTGCAGCTCCCTCAGCCTCTCCTCATATGGCTTACACCCTTTGCCAGCTTCACTGCCCTTCCCTGGGCATGCTCCAGCACCTCAATGTCTTTCTTGAAGTGAGTGGCCCAAAACTGGACACAGTACTTCAGGTGCAGCCTCATCAGTGCTGAGTACACGGAGGCAGTCACTTCCCTGCTCCTGCTGGCTGTGGGAACAAGTTAAGCCAGCAGCACCTGCATTCAGTTAATTAGATTTAAAAGGGAGTGTTTGATCTTGGAGATAAGTAGTGTGTGAATCAAAACAATGAGTTTGCAAAAAGTCCTGGGAATTTTAGTTAACTGAATGGCAACATCAGGTGCTGTTTACCTGAAGAGGTTAATAAAAGGGGAGTGCAGAGAGAGCTCTGTGGAGAATCCTGAAAACCAAATCACGGTGTGTGCAGCCTCATTTTTTCAATACTGACCATGCTATTCTTGGTATAGACCAGGATGCCATTGACCTTCTTGGCCACCTGGGCACTCTGCTGGCTCACATTCAGCCGGCTGTCAAACAGTACCCCTCGGTGCTTTTCCACCAGGCTACTTTCCACTCACTCTCCCTCAAGTCTGCAGCACTACAGACGGTTGTTGTGGCTGAAGTGTAGGACCAGGCACTTGACCTTACTGAATATCATACAATTGGCCTTGGCCTATCGATCCTGCCTGTCCAAATCCTTCTGCAGAGCCCTCTTGCTCTCCAGCAGAATAACACCCCATTCAACTTGGTAGTGTCTGCAAATTTACTGAGGGTGCAGGACTGGGCCCAATACTGAGCCCTGGGGAACCTCACTAGTCAGTGGTGGCCAACTGAATGCAGCACCATTCACTGGGCTCAGCCATCCAGCCAGTTTCTAACCCAGCAAATAGTGCACCTGTCCAAGCTGTGGCCTGCCAGCTTCTCCAGGAAATATTTTTCACTTTTTAAAAAATTCTCTTTTACTCCTTAGGGGGAAAAGAAATAACAAAGAAGACAAGAAAGGCAACAAAATCAATACTTTTTCTGTAACAGTTTCTTTAATAGCTTGAAAATTATTAACTCATATATTTTTATAAGTGGAGAAATTACTTCACATCCAAACTGCAGGTGTGCGTCAAAGAAATATCTGTGTTACAACTTACCATCTGTTTAATTAAGTAGCTGTCCTTATTCACTTGTATTTTGCAGTATCCTGTTTATTAACAAGTTATTTAGTTTTAATTGAATGAGTTCCAATTACAAGAGGTAGTAATGCCATCCTTTCAATGCTAGTCAAATTAGTAAGAATCCGAGCTAAGAAATCTCTTGAAGAATTGAATCCTTGTGAAACAAAAGGATATATGTAAGCTAAGTAATGGGATATCATGGAGGTCAGGAGAAAAGACAGGTTCCTGAGAGATACATACAATGAGAAACTGACTTAGACCCCACGGGTGGCTGGGAAACTCCTCCACCATGAGCAGTGAAAAGGCATGAGAGATGCTATGATTCACACATTCTTCCTCTTTTCTTGTATCATTTCCAAGGCATCTGTTCATGGCCACTGTTAGTGACAAGGCACTGGACTAGGTGGACTTCTGATTTAACTGAGAATTGTCATTTTCGTACTCTTAGGAATGCCAAAGCTTAGTTTGGATCTGGACCTTTGGTAACTTTTAAGTGATATTCTGCCTAAGCAAGATAGCTGTTTCTTTCAAGTGAAGACAACTGTAGGCTGAATAACAAGCAAAGATAACTGTCCTTCTAGAAGGCCTTGAGCTGGCTTAGATATTTCTGTACAGAGTGTGTGTGCAAAACCCGTAAGACATCCGAAGAATGGAGTGAAAAGGACACTACTCACACTTTTACATCTAAAGGTACTATTTAGTTTTACTGCAGAGTCTCTCTAATATTCTGCAGAGGCTGGTGTTTGCTGTTGACCCTGTATCATCAGGGAACTTGCCTTCTAGTCATGACTGGCAAAAACCACTCCTGGCCTGGTTTCATAGGAAATCTCCCTGTAAAGATTTGCAGGTCTTTGCTCTTGGACTAAATGTAAAATAATATTGCATCTATTTCAGGATATGGATTAGGTCTGGGCTACTCTGTGAAGCCTCAGAAATTTTGTGTTTCTACCCCCAGAAGTTTGGCTGGTTGGAGATTTTTCAGTAATTTTATATTTGGGTTTTAACTGTATTCTAAGACTTTATTCAAAGTTAAAAATCAGGAGGTGTTATTCAGACATTAAAATGCTAACTTGAATAATCAAGGAGGCTACTCTATAGGAAATAATGGAATGTCTTCCTTTTCATGTTTTCCCCTCTTTGTAATGAAAAATCAAATGGTTCTGTCAAAATATTTCACAACAATGGAAACAGATGTTGATTTAGAAAAAACAAATGTTTCAATCCTTATTAACCAGTGAGAAAAATATTTTAGCTTTTGTATTAAATCAACCTAAGTTGCAGATAGCTTTAGTAAAGTCTGTAGTGTATTTCTGGCCACCTGTACTGAAATATATGAGAACAGGAAAAAACTTATTTTCCTTTGAGTTTTGGTGAAACATCTGCATTTTTACAAAACAAGAATTCTGCGTTTGTTACCTCTACTATTCACATGGAGAAGGTGTCCACATATCTTTTTGCAGTGTTGTAAGCCAATTGGTTATGAAGATCAACTTCTCAAAGACAAAGCTCAGGATTAAATAATGTATTTGAGCAACTTTTTTGTGGAGTAGCATTTGTAATGAATTGTATCAATACTCCAAGCCAGGTCACATTGATCTAAGATATGAAACCTCTGTCTCACACTCAGAAGTTTGAAATCTTTCTCTTGCACTGGAACACTCATATCTGTGATATTCCTTGTCCTTTCTTTTATACTTTTGACTTGACAGTAGTTAGCCTGTGATATCCAGATGTGATACAAAGTGCCTTTCAGAAAGAAAGGAGTACTTCAGTTCATCAGAGTTGAACTGCATTTCTAAAGGTAACAGTTTAATTTTTAAATGCTGAGTTTGTTCTTTAGTAAGTAGAGTCTGAGTTTTATTCACTGGTGGATGCTCATAAAGAATAAATGCAAAAATCTACCAAACAACTACCGGTTTACTTCTGGTTTCTTCTTTTTTTTTTTTGTGGGCTTAACTAAAGAATTGTAAAAGATCTCTAAAGAGTAGACATATCAGATTCTGGCTTTATGGTGGGAAATGCCACTGTAAATGCCTCTGAATCAGTATTTTATTTTTTTTCCCAATTTGATTATTTCTCTCATTTTTCCTCTTTTATAATGTAGCAGTGTCCTCCTCTGCTTTCATGTTTTACTTGCTATTTGCTTCTGCATCTAAAGAATATGGGTAGAAACTTGAATACTTTTTTTTTTTAAAAACTGTTTTTGTATTTTCAATTGTCTTTCTGTCTTTGTAACCTTCTGTGATGGTAGGTGAATTTTGTCCTGGAGTCACACAACCCAGGGAGTAATCTTCAAGACTTTCTGACAGTTCTATAGACACTTTGGGTGGACATGGCAGGCTCAGGTTCTACCACTGAGAAACTAGTGAGAAGCCAACCTTTGGCAACACCATACTGCCAGGTAGGGTGTAGCGAGGTGGCAAGAGAACAGTTGTGAAACAGAAAAAAAAGAACTAATTCCTGTTTTGAATTGTCATCAGTGGTGTCTTTCAGGAGAGCAAATGCAGTGGGATCTTTTACCCAATAAGAACACACATTGCTTTTAATGGAACAAGTTGCATGCACATTTAGTTAATGTGGCACTTAATTGATTTCTGGATGGGAGTTAAACTTTCCTGGCTAGCAATTTCACATTTACTCAAGCAATTGTTTCATGAAGTCTGTATGCTTCAACCAGAATCCTCATTAATGGTTTTGGACTCCATCACTCCTATCATGATATATCCCCTGAAGAACAGCATTTGAACTGTATATCTGTAGAGTATTATGCATTTAAAATTTTCATTAACAGAGGAAATTCCAGTTTGCTTCTGTGGAATATTTTTTTTTCTGAAGTACCTTACCCCACAGTACATATTTTCCACTTATTTGCTAAACTTCAAGGAAATGAATAGCTGTTGATTACATTATTCAGCTTTTTATTCCTTGAGAGGGTGGGGGGCGGAAGCTCCAGAAAAACCTTTTGGGAAGCAGCAGTGATCCTGTTGCATATATTCAAGCTTGGGCTGGTTCTTACTAGACTCCTGTGAAATGGTGGTGCTGTGATGCTTTGGAAATCAGGGAAAAAGAAGAATCAGCTTTTAGCCTGTGATAAGAAAGCTACTGCAGAGATGCATTTTGTTTCTTTCTTTTTATACTGAAATTTGTACTCCTGGGTTATACAGTCATTTAACTTGAGTCTTCTTTCCACAGAAATTTCCACTTTCAAGAAAATATAACTTCCACTTATATTTTCCCCATAATTGCTCTCGCTTTTCCGTATAAAACAATTTCCAAGGACTTAGTGTTTTCTCCTTCCATTTAAGATACAACTATGTACTCCTACTGCAGTCATAGTTTGTACTGCACATCATTTGTCATCACTCTGCTCTTCTCCCTGTCATGTGAAATATAAGCCACAGTTTTTCTCTTAGGGCCTAACTGTCCTTCCTCCCAGCACCAAGAGCTCAACTTCCATCTCCCATCTGGAAAACAGAAGTGCCAGACACTTTCATCCTAATTTTTTAAAGTTCTTGGGCAAGTACTTTTGTACTGTCTCCTGTTAGCACTGGTACTTGTGAGCAGTTCCAGTACTCTCCTCCATCACTTTGAAGTGACCCCATTGCTTTATTTCAAATGCCTGATTGTAATTTTCCTTAAAACTTCTATAATACCTACCAGAAACTCAACAAGAGCCGGGCTACCATGGGCTGTGACCAATGGGCTGCCGTCAGCTGTGATTCTGAGCACTCATTTCTCCTTGTCTTGAGACTCCTGCCTGTGTGCCCTTTTGCTTGCATTTAAACCCTAAAGGTTGGAGGCTGATGCTCTGTTTGCTTGTCTATGGGCTGATGCTCTGTTTGCTTGCCTGTGCTATGGGCTGTCATGTGCCAGCAGCAGGCTGGTGTGCGAAGGCAAGACTAGAAATTCATACCACATTTATTGGAGAACATCTATCCACGGCCTTGTTGTTTTATGTCTAGCAATTTAATTTTGCTCAATGTTTTCAGTATATAGGAACCAGAAAAGGCAGTGATACACCAGTGATATTGTAAAATTCATTATATGAGTACATAGGTGTTCAATAGAGATGTGTGCCAAGCTGCAATAATGATGGAAGGCTTTTGGTCGCTGTATGATGCAAGCTATAGTGTCACTCACGTGTGTTCAGTACTGTCCCTACAGGATTTCCTTCTGTAACTCCTGTCAAAACACTGTTCTGGGTTCCTTTTTGTCAATGCAAGTTTGTGTGAACTTTTTTCTATTTTCTTAATAAATTTATGTTTTATTTATTTTATAAATTTATTTTATATTTATCAAACACACAGGATATAAATCCGTAAGCTGAAATCTGTAATGAAAAGTGTTACTATTGTTAAAAGTCTCAGTTTTGGCTGGTATCAAATACAAAGACAACCTAAACATAAAAATTCCAGTTATATTGTAAGTTAGTTTCTCATATTTAATTAGCTCTTCCTTGCACCTTGTTTGTCAATGCAAGAAGAAAATACTTGAGTTATATATATATATATATTCAAGGAGAAACTAGAGAATAGAAATTAAAACACTCTCCTTACCCCAGATTTCAGAAGAACCTAAAGAGACGAGTATATGCTACTTTAAAATAAATTATAATAAAAAATATTTCCAGTAAAAATATTTCAGTCTTATTCTTAACATAAATATTAGGCTTTTTCAAAAGGCTTTTATGCTTTTGCCATCTAAATGTTAGTCAAACTTTTTAATAATTAAACACTGATGGCTAGAAAAAATATATTAATTATGCATCTCCTAGGCCACAGAAAGAAGTTATTTTATCAGTCTACAAAATGATTTAGTATGCATAAAATTTAACATTTAATAATACCACAAAGAGCATTTATTTTAAATGTTTCCATGTTCCAATCATGTCTAATTAATACTTAAATGTTAGTGCACTGGTAATGCTGCTTTTTCTTTACTCAGTACAACTGAAGTTTTTTGTTTAGCAGCTCTTGGTTGAAGCTTCAACAAACCATATAACAGAGTAAATAGGCTACCTTTTGTAGACTTGAGAATCTCAAGGTATCTCAGAAATAAGGTTCTTGAGGAATGCTCATGAGGAACGCTTTCTTTATAGACAAACGTAAGCTACTGTGTATCACTAAAAAAATTTACAAAAGAGGGTTTGGAAGGTACTACATGACTTAAAAAGGGTTGCATCCATCAGACCTGCATTTTCATGCGTAACTGCAGAAGCAGTGAAGATTGTTTTGGCTTGACTAGCATTTACAATTGTGCACTGGAGCAAGTGTTCTAATGCTCTCTTGAATTTTAGTTCCTGAAAGACATGCTGTACTTGGCAGCATATTAGAGTATTCAAGGGCAAAACCAAAGAAGAAGCCTTTAAACTAAGCAATTATTATCTGTTAAAGTGCAGAAATGTTGGTTGCAAGACAAGCAATGTAAAGACGACACATAGATTGAGCTAGATTCTGTGTTCTCATAGCCTTGTCTGTGGGTCTTGTCCTCCTCAAAATAAAACCTGATGTTGTTTATTTGGGTGAAAAGATATTTCAAGTGCTAAACACTGATATCTGAATGGAATAGAAGACCTGCCAGAGGTTACTGCTGCTTTGTCAGTTAATTTACTCTCCTCTCCCTTCAGTGGCATGCACACACTGGGGGAATCTTAACTGATGTCAAGTAGATACCTTTCAGGAGCCTAAGTGTCCCAAAGCAGTGTTAAGATATTTGAAACCTGTATTTTATTCCTTCCTGAAACTTTCCCACAGCCTTTCTCTTCACTTACCTTCTTTGTTTTTTTCAGTGTTTATCTTTTCCTCCCCTGTGAACATCTTGAAAGAGTGTGAAAAAGTCCTAGATGTTTCAACAATTCATTTGTTCTCTTCCTTCAGGTGGAGTCTCTGATTAAATAATCTATGCATGCTTGTGTGTATGATCAGGTGGCACTTTGGAATGTGAAGCAAGCAGTTCTATACCAAAATATACCGCCTCCTTTTGTTCACAGAACCAGAGGATAGCTTAGGAGGTGTCTTGGATCTTTCTCAACTTTCTTCCTGGATCCCCAAAGATGCCTATGGTCTATATGTGGATTTGTAGTACCTTTCACTCTGCTATCTACCCTTGCCAGGCCAGTGAGGACTTATTGGGACTGCGGGCCCATGCTGACATGGCAAGCTGCCAGACTGGGACAATGGAAGCACTGCTGTATGCCCCACTCTGCATTCATGGGGCCAGTGATTCAACAAAGAGGCCAGTGGAAGCTGAGATAGCCCTGAACCCAGACTTGGCCTTAACTTGACTTAGTCCCCTTCTCCTTCACAAATCCAAGTCACAAAGGGGTGAAACTGAGAGCACTGGCTACAAGTTTAGGGTATCAGCTTAGAAGAGGCACTCTCTTATCATGCTAGTTGCTATGCCATTAAAATGGAAGGTTGGTCTCTTCTGACAGGTAGTGTCCTGCACCAACACTTCCTGTAGTATGTAAGTCAGTGCAACTCTTTAAGATATGCAGTTCTCTAAAACAACTGTTAGATTATTTTGCAAATATCCCTATCCTGGCATCTCAGGAAATTAGACATGAGAGTTGAGACCTTAGAAGTGTTGTCTTCTAAGCACAGTTTTGAATCTTGGTGTGAGGTCCTATGTTTTATTTGTAATTTGTTTTTCAGTCTTGGAACTAAAAGTTTGATTTTATTTCTTTAATGAAATTAATTTCATTTTTAATGCTTAGATGCTGCTGGAGATGGCTCCAAGGGAAGCTTGTGAATTTAGGACGCTTCTTTCTTTAAAGGAAACCATTTTGAATACAGTGACAAGAGCATAATCCTCAGGACAACTGTGCTGTGAGTTGTGTAATGGAATGGGCTGACAAGAATCTTTTCCCAAGCTACAAGGCTAGTACAGGAATTGCTGAATTGTGATCCCACTGGCACAGAAAAAGCAGGACGCAGATACACCCCTTCTTTATCCCCTTGGAGACGCTTGTCGCCTTGGCGCAACTTCCAAAGCACTTCACAAGGTGCCCTTACCTTCACAACTGGCAATGAGTGTGTTTCCTCATCTTGTAAAACACCAGCAGCATATCAGAGTCTAGTCTGTGAAAGAGATCATGAATCACTTTTTTTTTTTAACAATTAAACAAATCTTAATATTCTCATGGTCAGAGGAAGAAAACCCCTATAATACTGATTAAGAGGATGTCATTCCATTTCTTTTGTTTCACTACTTGCTAATGAGCTGGTATCATTACAGAGTCTTTGACATTCAAAAGAGGTGATGGAATCAGGGTTGAGAGCTGGGAAGAAGCAGAGAAGGGGTCCTTGGGAAAAGATGCAAGTGCTGTTGCTAAGGAATGTCATAGAATCATAGAATCAGCTGGGTTGGAAGGGACTTCTGAGATCATCAAGTACAATCCTTGGTCCAACACCACCATGGTTACTAGACCATGGCACTAAGTGCCACATCCAGTCTCATCTTAAAAACCTCCAAGGATGAAGTATCCACTACTTCCCTGGGCAGCCCATTCCAATGCCTGATTACCCTCTCTGTAAAGAATTTCTTCCTGATATCTAACCTAAACCTCCTTTGAAAGGGCTTAAGACCAGACAGGGCCCTCTTGTCTTACTGATAGTTGCCTGGGAGAAGAGACCAACCCTCACCTGGCTACAACCTCCTTTCAGGGAGTTGCAGAGAGTGATGAAGTCTTCCCTGAGCCTCCTCTTCTCCAGGCTGAACAACCCCAGCTCCCTCAGCCTCTCCTCATAGGACTTGTGTTCAAGTCCCTTCACCAGCCTTGTTGCTCTTCTCTGGACCTGGTCCAGCACCTCAATATCCTTCCTGAACTGAGGGGCCCAGAACTGGACACAGTACTCCAGGTGTGGCCTCACCAGTGCTGAGTCCAGGGGAAGAATCACTTCCCTGGACCTGCTGGCCACACTGTTCATGATAGAGGCCAGGATGCCATTGGCCTTCTTGGCGACCTGGGCACACTGCTGGCTCATGCAGCTTCCTGTCAATCCAAACTCCTAGGTCTCTTTCTGCCTGGCTGCTCTCCAGCCACTCTGTCCCCAGCTTGTAGTGCTGCAGGGGGTTGTTGTGGCCAAAGTGCAGGACCCGGCACTTGGCCTTGTTAAACCTCATCCCATTGGAATCAGCCCAACTCTCCAGTCTGTCCAGGTCCCTCTACAGAGCCCTCCTGCCTTCCAGCTGATCGACACTCCCCCCCAACTTAGTGTCATCTGCAAATGTGCTGATGGTGGACTCAATCCTCTCATCTAAATCATCGATAAATATGTTAAACAGAACTGGGCCCAACACTGATCCCTGGGGGACACCACTAGTGACTGGCCACTGACTGGATGCAGCCCCGTTCACCACCACTCTCTGGGTCCGGCCCTCCAGCCAGTTCCTAACCCAGCACAGAGTGCCCCTGTCCAAGCTGTGGGCTGCCAGCTTTTTCAGGAGTATGCTGTGGGAGACGGTGTCAGAGGTTTTGCTGAAGTCCAGGTAGGCACATCCACAGCCTTCCCCTTATCCACTAGGCAGGTCCCCTGATCATAAAAGGAGATTTGATTGGTCAGACAGGACCTGCCTTTCCTAAACCTGTGCTGGCTGGGTCTGATCCCTTGTCCATCCTGCAGGTGCTGTGTGATTGCACTTAGGATGATCTGCTCCATAACCTTGCCAGGCACTGAGGTCAGGCTGACGGGCCTGTAGTTTCCCGAGTCCTCCTTCCAGCCCTTTTTGTGGATTGGGGTGACATTTGCCAACTTCCAATCATCTGGGACCTCCCCAGTGATCCAGAACTATAGGTAAATGATGGAAAGCAGCTTGGCGAGCTCTTCTGCCAGCTCCCTCATCACCCTTGGGTGGATCTCATCTGGTCCCATAGACTTGTGGGGATCCACAAGTGTGGGGATCCAAGCGGCTCAGCAGGTTGCTGGTCTCTGGGACATCTGTAACAATAAATGCTGTGCCTCTGTATATGCACTGGTGAGAAAAGAAAGAATTATAAGACAGCACTTCTGCTTGAAGTCTGCTCTTTCAGTTCATCTCTAAATTCAATATTATTCTAATGCTTTTTAGTGCTCTGCAAGAAAAACAAAGTTTAGCCACTGATAAGATTTTATCTACAGGTAAATATTTCCTTTCATCACGAAAAAACAGGCTTTAGGGACCTGCGAAGAAATAACTTCCTTTTCCTCTCCACAGATTTGATGAGCTCTTCTGTAAGAAAGTGGTGGTGAAGAGGGAGTTGATGAAGAGGGAGTGAAGAGACAGCATCTACCTATCTACAAATATAAAATGCATTTAGATTTAATAAAGACAGTGAGCAAAAGGATGGGACTTGAGCAAGTGGAAAGCTTTGATGGCTTTGACAAGCCTTTTCTTTATTCTCTTGAGCTAATTGAGTCACTTGACAGGCTGGCATCAGAGTACAGTCAAATTCTGACAGGCTAATTTGAGCTTGTGGTTCCAATGAAACATACATACGGCACTCATTATATTTAGTGACAAGCAGTGTCATTTTCTGCTTAAATGCAGACAGCTCAACACATTTATTCAGCTATCTGTAAATGAAGCAAGCAACCCCAAAGACGAAGGTGAAGCAAAAGGGTTAGGTTATGGTGTTTGTCTGCAGTCTTGATAATACTTGGGAACAGAAGGAGTATAAGAGGTTGACCATTAAGCTGGTCTGAGTGAGACTGGTGGAGGGGGAGACAAGACAGTAATTGCCACAACCTGCCATTTGATGTGGCAAACAGAGTAATTTTCGTTTCTGTAATAATTGAGCTAGTGGTCAAAAAGACTTATCTGCTTAGCAGGGGCTGCCTCTTGGACACTGAGTAAGCACAAAGCCACTCAGCATTGCATAACATTAACTACCTTTGGAAAGGGTATTGAGGGAGGCAGCCAGCTGGTCTATGCACTGCTGAAAGACAGCAATCCTCAGCCCTGAGATGCCCTTCAAAACTGAGAAAGTTAGATTGTGTGCAGCCTGACACAAATAACCATTATTATTACAGTTCTACAGTCAGAACTCTAAGTCATAAAGAGCTTAAAAAAACTCCTTGATTTTTTTTTTCTTTCAACTAATTTGCATTTGCTTAATGTCACTTTTTTATTATGCTCTGGCAAGTTTGATTTGGGCCCTAAAATTACCAGATAAATATTTCTTGAGGGCATAGGGAAGAAGGAATATGATTTTTCAGTGTTGGCTCATGTTTGTTGAATGCGTGTAAGTTCCCACAACTCGGGGTTAGAATCTGTTTTGTTACATCGTCTTTGGCTAATGTTATAATCTTAGCACTATTGTGCTATAAATCTAGTTGAGCAAAGATTCCATGACATTCTTCTTCTCTCTCCTTTCCAACTTTTAAATTCTCTGTTGGTAGAAATTGTATTTTTCTCTTCGAGCAGATGTAGCTGTTCAGTGTGACTGTAAAATACCACAAGTATGTACTGTCAAATCCTTCTTGTAGCAAATGAAAAAAGCATGTTTGCTTGTAATGCTGCAATATAAGACTTATTTATTTATTTTCTTTTGCTGATGATGGTTGAGGTCTGTGTGCAAAGCAGAGACAACTTGTGCAGAGATTGTTATCCTTGTCCGCTACTAAGTTTGCTATGATTAACACTGATATCCTAAAAATGAGAGTTGGAGATGTCTAAGACCTGCTTGTCTCAGATCCCACTTATTCTTCTGTTCATGTGCTGTAGCTGTGTTTTGCATATTCAGGCAGGCTCTACTTTTTTCTGATCGACAGAGGCCGACAAACGGCTGACTAAGATGCAAGAAGTGTGCACTGAGCTATATATGGTTAACTGATGTAACATGGCAGCCTTTGGCTTTAACTTCCAGCCTATTTTCTTTCTTTGTTTGACAATTAACAAAATCCAGTGGTCACTTTGAGGACAGAGGAAGAGAAACTTGCTTTGAAATCTTGCAGGTGGATTTCATTGAAGCTACTTGAATCCAGAATCAGGCTTTGAACTGCTGTTGCTACCAATGGCAGGATTTATATTTTAACTTTGGCTTTGTTTGCTTTCCAAATGCCGCTCTTCTAAAGAGTGACCATTTTATAGAAGCTGAGGACTATGTAACTGGTATGTTATCTGGAAAATTTGACAATTTTCTGTAGACTTTATTCCATTTTAAGGTATTAATGTGCTTCTTCAAGATATATCCCCATCTTTCACCAACACGATCTTTCATTTCTCTACAGGGTTATGTTGATTATGTGCTAATGTGATGACACTGTCATTCAAAATGACGATCAACATTTTGATGCTAATGAACTGATTTCAGCTTTGGAGAGAAACCTGTACTTAGTTCCATCATGACAACTTTGTGTGACATATGTCACAGTTTGGAATTGATCCAACTAGGTGTTATGTTGTAAACACCTTGTTTCCCCTCCAGTGTTCAGAGGCTGAGATGTAATTTATTCCAATCAGGATGTACTTTGACAAGCCAGCTGAATGGGATGCAGCTGCTGTTGTTAAATATTTCCACCTCTTTCTCTTTTTCAGGTTTTCTCAGATGTCATAATCTTCAGAGCTCTCCATGCTAGCATTACAGGGAGCTCTGCCAAGGGTTAGGAGGAAGTGAGATTGGGATGTGCTGGAAGGAAAAATAGCCCATTATACTCATTACAGAAAGAGATGGACAAAGGGTTTTGATTGGAAAAGCCTTTTGCACTGATGAATAACTAATTCACTCAGATACTAAATCTGACAGTTATTGTGCATTTGATGAATGCTTTGAAAATTCTATATGTGGAAAGACCTTTCATAATAACATGAATCAGAAACAGTGAAACAGTCAACCTTCTAAAACCAGAGATTCTACCTGAGCTGAAATTATGTCGGTTTTGCTTTGGAATACAAAAACTTTAAAAGCCAATGTATTTCCCTCCACTCCACAGGCCTAGCAGGTAATAAGCACTGCAGTAGTCTTCACATATCTATAGAGGTCTACATCGTCAACCAATCAATCCTCTCAAGCTAGTGAAATGTTTGCTGGATAGCTTTTTAGGGAAGTTTATTTCAGTTCATCATTGTTCTTTTGCAGCGGAATGAGCAGTGGAGTTATCCCATGAGGCCTTTTGAAAGTGTATAATTTTGTACGTTGAAACTGAGACGTTGCCTCTCAAAGACTGGCAAAGGAACAGTAAAACTTATCTGTATTTTGTTTAGCCACAAGCATCACTCAAACTCATTATCCCCTCCTTAGCTAAACACATATGCTTAGGGTCTTCTGTGATACGAATTATCTGACTTTCTAGTTGACTTC